GAAGGAAATTTTATATGTTGCATATGCTTTTTTGTTCTATCGATTTAACGGGAAAATAGTGCAAGAGGAACATATGTCACGACAATAACAATGCAATTTAATCGTCTTTTTACATATGCATGCCTTTGGACGGAAAAATAACGGCATTCAAGAGGTTCAAGCTAAAAGCTCAGATGTCCTTAGATTTGTACGCGCCAAGGAGAGACTGGGAAATGTTGTTCAGGCAATGCATTTCAACGGCAGGAAAGGAGACGGAGAATTGTTGATAACTTGCAATTCGAGCTCTAGCGGAAGTAGTGGAAGCATTTATCTTGAAGAGAAAAGTCTGTTCATAAGATTATCGTTCAAAAAAAACTTTTGTGCCTTAAACTGACGTGGGTTTTTCAAGAAATCAAGTAGTCTTCCAACATATTTGAGCAATATGTTGGTCAAAACTCATCCTTTTCCACAAAATTTTCTAGCTGATAGAAAAAATTTCGAAGAATCTAATAAGCTCAATGTTTTCTTCAATATTCGATGGCATTGGGAGGGAGCTGAAAGAATTAGATTGCGAACCTTTGTCATTTAAAACGTGAAGAAAAAGTCTTGGATGTAGAATCGTGATTACTTCTAATCAGTTCTAGGCTATTTTCACATATGTGATAGAGTTTAGCGTTCGAAAGAACCTTGTCATTTGGTATAATACTAAAATCAACTCCTGAGAGACGACAGAGGTTTGTCACTAAAAACCCCCTGTATTTTAATGAAGTGTCTCTATTCACCCGAAGCGTACAAGCAAAGTGTCTCTATTTACCTCGGTTGGGGTAATTAGACACTTTGGGAGCTCTCCATATTTTAGATCTGACTCAAAATTTCCTAATTATCTCAGTAGTACTCAAAATATCGGCTAGAATCTATGATGAAATCACATCGTTAATAGGAAATTTCGGAGATTTTCAAAAGATTTTTACATTAACGTGTAGAAAAATGTTCGGCCTACCACCGTGTTCAATAACAGGTTTTTCCGATCCAAAACGGCCAGGAAATAGCAGGAAACCGACGAAAGTTTAAAACGGTGTCTCTATTCATCCCAAAGTACTGTATAGGCTGTTTGAAGTCTAAGAAGAATAAAGCGTCTATTACAAAGAATGATAATTCCATGAGTAGAGAATTTCATGAGCTTTTGTACAATATGGCAATATGGTTAGATACCTTTATAGGAAAGTTCAAAAAAGTGATTTAATTTATTTCATGTTTGAAAGTGTTGTTTTCTGGTTGAAATCGCATCAATCAGCTCAGAACAATTTGTAGGTGAATTTGTCATACATTTATGAGTGTTCGCGTTTTACAGCCATACACCCACAAATGATTTGTATTCATTTTAGTGTTAGCTAGAAGACAATATATAATTATTGGTATACGATAGACCGTTCTTGAGTCGTATTGGTTGAAAAGTCATATAGATTGTAAAAGAAGACAGTTCAAGATATATGTAAATCAGTTCATAATAATATCAAGTTTTAATAAAAGAAATCAATTATTTTGGATGAAGAGACCTAAATATGTTAGCTTTATCAGATTAGAAAATTTTCTTTTGTATCATACCAATTGAGGACTTCTTGTGTCGTCATAAAATGTCGTGCAGATTTATGGCGCAAAAATATCTTCACTAAAAATTAGCAATAACTGACTCATTTTCTATGGTTTAATTGTAAAAGAGAGAGATTTCACTACTTGTCTACATATATGCGTTGTTCTCTCCTGTCATTTTCGTCAATCGTACCACTAATATAAAAAAAGAGTGAGTTCTTCTTTATATATAAGCGACGAAAAATTTCAAAAAAGTCGTTTTTTACTCAAATAAAAAAGTGATGAGCGCAACAGCTGGCATCATCAATTGATTATTATGCTGACTTGTATGATCAACTTTCTATAAACGAATAAAAGTTATTTTAACATCTAGAATTTCTCAAAGACTACAATTTTGTTAGCCATACATGGCATCGTCATCTACAAGATCCACTCGAACAAGTGGTCGAGCTCATTATAAACTGACAAAAACTATAACTGGACCAGATGGAAAGACGAGAGTTGAAACCGTTGAATTAAAAGATGATGACGCGGTCAAAGTAAGTATAGTTTACTGTGAAGTTTATGTCTTCTTAAATGTATAAATAAATAATTATTTAGTTTATGAGAGAACTTCGATTAGAAAAAGAAGATGTACCCGATTTGGATAGATTTGGCTATCGACCGTTAGAAAATACGCTCACATTTGATTTGAATGCCGATGTAAGTAGACATGATATAATTTAGTTATTAATAAAACTAAATTCGTAGAAATCTTTTGATGTGTACACCTGATAGATCAGAAACGAGAGGAAGATTCAAGTGGTATCGACAAATTTGTTTAATGAAACATAATAAAGTAACAGCAGTAATTTTCAAATTTTAAAAATTACTGCTGTTACTTTATTATGTTTATTGAAATTTTTGCCAATTTGTACAGATAATGTTAACGAAACACACTATCTTTAATTTTAGAAAAGCAATCATCATCAAAAGAAGGTCTGGGCTATAAAATGAGGTAGGTATTTTTGAACTAATCATCTCTTAGGTATAATTAACCAGGAATTGTACATTAAAACTCCACGTGTTTGAATGGGGTGTCTCTATTTACCTCGGTTGGGGTAATTCGACACTTTGATGGAACTCTCCATATTTTAGATCTGACTCAAAATTCGTCGGAGATTTTCAAAAGATTTTTACATGAACGTGTAGAAAAATGTTCGGTCTACCACTGTGTTCAATAACAGGTTTTTCCGATTCAAAACGGTCAGGAAATAGCAGAAAATCGACGAAAGTTTCAAACAGTGTCTTTATTTACCCCAACGCACCCTAATCGAGAAGGTCAATTACAATTCAAAATTTAACAGAAAACTTTTAGATAATTCCTAATTAGTGATTTGTAGAGAATTTCATTTTGCTTTCGTATAATATGTAAGTTTTACTAGATATCTTTATTGGGAAACTCAAAAAAGTTGTGTAATTTCAGTTATGTCATACTTCAAAGAGTGAATTTTTCCTTTTATTAATAATTATTAATTTATCCTTTTCGATTAACAGATGTTTAAACGATCCCTTAGACAGTAAGAACTTGCTCTGTACTCGAGATATCGAAGCAAAATCCCTTATTGCATTCTGCTCTAAAAGACAAAACCGAATAAAACAGATTGCAACGTCTATACTCGAGAGGAAGTTGAAGTCATGTTAGGAAGGGTGGATAGTTAGAAAACGACATTGAATTTTTGAATAATCTTAGATACTCTGACGATCTGCTTTTTGTAATTCAACTCAACTTCGCAGTATAGATGTAAGAAATTAAAACAAATGAGTTCTCTCTGAGTCGAAGTGTTTTAGAAGAAAACTTTTGGATACCAAAGAGTTTCGAGAGCGGAAAATGATATATTTAGATATCCGTTCGATTTTCGAAGAAATCTCTGAACTGTGAAAAAGATTCAGACAATACTAATTCGTTTCGGAGAATGCTCTTTTCGTTTTCCAATATTTTTCTCCAACATCTTTTGAGTTTCCTCTTGACAAATCTCTTTACTATATTCTAAAATATTCTTTCAGTTTTCGAAGTCACTTCCAAAATCCAATTTTATGATAAAATTCACGAATAATCATATGTTAGGACGAAAAAAATTTATATTCTCACAAAAAGATATCCATAGACATCAGATCTTTGTAATGATTTTGCGTTTAAGTATTTCTTTTAATAATACTGTTACTGTTGTTACTCCTATAAAATTCATAATTTCATGATAATGGATCAGCAAATTATAAAACACAGCAATTACAAAAAAAGCTCTTCATATAATTTAGTATGGGAGTTGCATAGTAATCATTTTATGTTGCTAATGTTGAATGTTAAGTGAAATGTTAAGTGATATGACATCTGTTTTATTATCAATGATTAACGAACTCTTGTTTTCTTTACTGTTTTATTACTCACCAAGGGTTTTTCACACCTTTTTCTGTCAAACTTTGAGCTAAAAAAGAATGAAACATAATTCTCTTTTGCATACGTGTATTTTAAATCACACTTATTATACCTTAACAAACAATAGGTAAATTTAAGGCCCTCTCCTACAAATAGATTTTTTTACATCAAAATTTCAATAGATTTATCAGTGAATCATCTTACTTTACTTCTAGAATTTTTATCTAGTTCTATTTTAATTTCATTCGACTCAGTTACACAACGTAGGAAAAAAAACATGTATAGAGAGATTCTTTTAGTAACGATAATACAACTCTCTATTATCTTCAATTGCAAAAAATGAATTTATTTTATTGCATTAATAATAATTACGTAATACGATAAAAGTTCGAATAAGTCACAATCTTTTACATACCAAGAAAGAGCCTTCTATAAGGACAGCAACATTATAGGGGATTGTAAGAAGCACCTAAAAAACAATAAAACCTTCGACAATAGCACAAACAAATCTTAACTCGTTTCAATGGAAACATATTTTTCAAGTTTTATATGATTAAAACAACCTGCATATTTAAAAGGTGTTTGAACACCGAGATTGTACAGAAATGTCAGTGTATCGATGACCTTCTTCGCCCTTGATTCAAATGACAGACAATATTTATAATGTTCACGAGAAATTCCGTTGTCGATTCTCACATCTGAGCATCACTTGAAATTTGTACGAGCGAACATTTACTTTGATCCAGATTTTTAGTTACCATCAAGTATTCGCATTCCATCATTAACTGAGAGAAAGATGATTCCCCAGTCATGTTAGATTTTTGTTTTCAAATTTTACTTTTACACGTACATATGTGTAATAACATAAAATGTACGACAATTTACTTTCTGCTCTTCGTTTAAATCGCACGCAAACGAAAAGAGAGATACACTCAAATACAAATACATACAGACAAGAACACAACGAAATAATCTTACAATTAGGGCTTGTTTGTACAACTATTTTTTCATGTTTAGCTAGAAAAAGAGAATTGCAGCGTAACACTCACATTTTACAGAGACAAGAAAACAAAAACAAAAAAAACGCTAGACAGAATAAAAAGAAGCTGCATGACCAAACTCTTTGTTTTTTTTTTATAGAGAAAAAAAGAAAAAAGTAGTTTGTGGATGATATATTGAACAAAAAGAGAAAGAAAAGAAAATTAAAAAAAGAATAATCGAATAAATCGATTATTCCAACTGTCAGCAGCAAAAACAAAACAACAATGATTCATTTACTTAACCCATGTCTTTTCGCTTCAATCTCATAGACTAACAGACGCCACATTTTTACAACAAATATTTCTGCCTCATCGTCTAATACAACTCGAATATCCGATAAAATACTTTCAGCATTTTGTTTTGACATTATACTTGTACATATAAAATCTGTTAATGTTGGTTCTTCTTCTCCAATATATTCAATTATTTTCTTGGTCACCCATGGTTTAATACGTTTCTCCATTAGTGACTAAAAAATATAAACAACAATAGAGTTTATTGACTACAGCTATGATGATCAACAAGCTCTTCCTTACTGGTATCCTTTGGCAAAAATGTTAACATGTCAAGAAGAGAGAACAATAGAGATATAGACGAGTATAAGTTTCATGTATTACTTACACTATCGAGTAATGACCAGTCAATTGAAAATGCGAATAAATCTTCTTTTTTAGTCGGAATACTTTCAATTAACTTTCTAACAGCTTGACGTCGTTCATCCGTACTTGCTGGCGCTTTATTAATTAGTAATGGACGGTTATTGTTTGCAGATGGTGGTGTTGATGGTTGTTGTAAAGTCGAAGAAGAAGAAGGTTGTGTTTGTTGTTCGAGTATTGTTAACTTAGATTTTTTTGCAAATGCATCGGGCGAATTTTCTTCTTGATCGTCCAAAAATGCCTGAAGTAAAATATATTATTAAATACATGCATGAAAAAGTTTAGTATTTTTTACCTCGTTAACAGTCAGTTTACGTTTTGATAATAATTTAGTTCCAGATACGGTAACTCCACCTATCGATGGATGGCGAGGGCTATCTATAAGAAAAATTATTTCTAGAACTAAGTTGAAGATGACAAAGAAGAATAAAAAGACTCAATACAACGCAAATTCATCTTACCAGTGCCAGGCAGTGGCGGTGGAGGAGTTGCCGTTCCTGGAGACTGGGATATATCTTCTAATTGGGCTACAGTTGTTGAATTTTTGCCTAGTTGTCCAGATGATAAATCCATATTTTCTGGGTCTAAAAAACAAAATATTAGTAATCTTATGGCCAGGTATAATAAGATAAGAAGTGAACTTACCTATACTCGATGATTTTGTATCTGAAATTTGCGAAGGTGGGTTCGTTATATTCATTGTATTTAGCATATCTTTCTCAACTTTAACATCTTGTATTTTTTTATTTCCTTTTTCGTCTTTCTCATCTTCATTTTCTGAATTTGACGTTGATGCTGTCGTAGAGGAGTCGCTGTGTGTGTGTGTTAATTCTGCTAGACATCTTCGAATAGCATCTTCTTCATGGGCAACACGCTGTAAAACAAAAGACAGAAATTGTACTTAAACAGAAAAGAAAGTTGTAACACTATTCATCTTCATACTCTTTTTAATTCCCCCTCAACGTCATCAATATTTTGTTGTGTTAATTTTTGACGTAGTTCTTCTAATTCTTCTTTTTCTTTATATCTATCTCGATTATCGATTTCAATTTCATGTTCACGTTCTTTCAGTCTTCTGGCTAGTGCCGTTCCTCTATAACAAAAACAATCAATAAATATTTTTAAAAATAAGATACAAGAATTTATATCTTTTTAAGGAATTATAAAAGCTTGTGGAAACATCAATCAGCCCAAAACATGTCAACATTCTGTTTCAGGAGAACGAAAGTTAAACTATTCATCATATTGATGCTTTATCTGATAAAATGGAATAATTAATGAAGCAAAACAAACTAACTTGTAAAATTTAATATCATCTTTTTCGTCTGAATAATCTTCTAAAAATGCCAACAATCGTTTTCCTTCTTTTTCTTCTTCTCGAAGTCGAGCTAATTCCCGTCGTCTTTCGGCTTCATATTCAACTTCTTTTTTACGTTCACGTCCTTCCCACGCTTTCAATCGCTAAAATCAGAGAACATAGAAATTTGAGGCACAATAAAACAGTCTATACTATGAACTTACATCTCTATAACGTAATTCTTTTTCTCTTAATCTTCTTTCTTGCTTTTTTCGCTGATATGCTTCTTCTTCATCTTCTGGTGTCTTTGAATTTTTTATTGCAGATACTTCTGGTGAGTTTGATCTTGATCTTTTACTATAACCAGATGGCAATTTTGATACCGGTGCTTTGTCACCTCTGTCTCTTGGATCTGGACGACGTGGCGGAGATAAAGGTCGACGTAATGAACCACTATGTCTACTACCACCATCTCTGGAATCTCTCACTGAACTACGATTATAATCGCTACGGGACGAATAACGATCATCGATACTACGGTCTGGTTTAACATCACGACGTCGTGACGAAGATGGTGAACGATAATCGTCGATTGGAGACAATGCACGTTCACTACTACGCTCATCACGAAGATGATTCGATGATGTTTTTGATGATCGATGAGAAGATGTAGGCGTTGTTGCTTTGCCCGGTGGTGATCTTGTTGGCGAAGACAATGGCTTGTCTTTCTCTTTTTCTCGTTGCTGTTGACGTTCACGGTCATAACGATCTTTTCTTTCTTTTTCTGTCACACGCATTTTTGCATCTTCATCCTTGAATTTATCACGAAACATTTTTATTTCGTTTGTTACCAAATCTCGTTTCTCATCGTCTACTCTTATTTCGTTTAATGCTGGATTATTTGATTTGCCAAATATTTGTTGTTGTTGTTGTTGTCCGTTTGCAGAGCTAGGAGCTGAAGTGGTGGCTGTAACACTAGTTGCGGGTGTTACTGGTGTTGTACTAGATGTTGCTTGTTGTAAATTGTTTGTTGCGTAAGCATTTGAAGCGTTATAATGATTGTGATGGTTTAATACTTTATCGTTATGGTAATGAAGATTTGTGACTGCTGATGTTCCACTATTTTCTTTTTCTTTTGCTTCAGCTGTTCGTGCCGCTATTTCTCTTGCATATTCACGCATGACAGTATCCAAACTATTCACAATTGTCTTATCTTCATTTTTTGTCGCTATATCAACTTCTTCTTCTTCTTCTTCAATTTCTCCTTCTTCACCGGATTTTTTTACTGTTGAACCATCACTCGCACTGTTTTGATTACTGTTTGATTTTGTTGGTGATTTTTTATCTTCATCGTCTGTATCAGGTTCATAAACAAACTTATAAGCAGTAGTATCATTTGCCGCTTTTTTAGCGTTTTCATGGCGTTTTTTCTTTTTATATTCATCTAACAGAGACTTTGTTTTGGCATCGACTTTAACCTAGAATGCGATAATAGTATTAATGAAACAATATTAGTAATGTACTGTTTACTCCAACAAAACTAGTGGTTTTCTAGCCCAAATGAATAGCAAAAAACACAAAACCAGTATCAATCAGTTGGATTTACAATATAAATGCTTCAACGTGCTAGGCAATCCCACTAACAAAGGAGAAATCCCTTTTCTGATGAAACAGTTTTTATAAGTAATTTCTCACGAAAAAAAATAAATTTGATATTCTTTCCGCGTGGTGGCTTTTTCCCTTGCTCAACAATAATAGCGAGAGCTAATTACGAACTATCGATTGTGCGAGTGTCAGTTTCTGGAGAATATGATGTTACGTTATGTTGCTGAATATCAAATTTACTTTTTTTCGTCAGAAATTACTTATAAGTGTGTGAAAATGCGTTGGTTACTTTACAATTTGTAGATCTCTGTAACTTCATATTCGATAAAAATTGACATTCGCGCAACTGTTTATTACTGTTTACCGAAAGTTCGTAACTAGCTTTTAAAGCCTCCGGCTATTATTTTTGAGCAAGTGAAAGAATACGAAATTTGATTTTTTTTCGCCAGATATTACTTATAAAACTGTGTTTCATCAAAAACAGATTTGCCACTGGATTCGTCATTTCTTATTTACCAAAGAGAATACTTCTTATCTCAGTAGTACTCAAAATATCGGCTAGAATCTATGATGAAATCACATCGTTAATAGGAAACAAGTTCTGTTTCTGCATGCGTTCTGTCCAAAGGCAATTCAATAAAATACTAGCATATGCATTCACAATAGATTTTAACCATACTCAATTTTATCGACTAGAGACAAGATCTTAATAGCAAAGAGACTAGAAACACGAAGATTGTGAAGCTAAATAAAATGGGTGCAGATTTGTTTCATCTCATTAAAGCGCTCAAAACATATCAAAGCTACATTTAATGAATCACTGAGAAAGCGATAGATTGCGAGGCAACAACCTACTTATACGGAAAGTTCTTTTATAATAATGAGGACACAAAGAATGCGTTTTCATCGGCTTTTTTTAATCTGGATTACTACGGAGGAGAGATCTTCATACGTCAAGTTATTTGTCTACTATAGCAGCCTTTTATAGATTATTTTTGATGAAGACTACGAAGCTAATGCCTCTTCTGGTCCTTGAACTTTTGAGGATTCTGCTATAATCTTGCAGTCTTTAGAGATTCACCAAGAACTCTAAAAGTACCAGTTTTACAGAGTCATAGATTGTCTGCTACTTGAATCAACAGAAGTCCTCAACTTGTACATATTCCATTATTGAAAACCGAATAACTTTATGAAAAAATCTTCGTTGGTTCCAATAATTTGTGGACGTATGTAAGTTGATGGCTTCTGTAGACTAGCACTATTAATGGGTAAAGTTAGTGACAGGTATTTGGAAAGTGTGAAGTATGATCCATGAAAAGTTGAGGATTAGGAGAGATATGGCTACGTTACGTTTTAATATTTGAAGATCTTTCCTCGTAAGTAAAAAATTCGTGTATGCTTTTTACAGGGATTAAGTGGTTAACTTTTGTACTCCAGCTCTCTGTCGCAGCTATTTAGAGACAAAAACGGTAACAGTACGACTAATCTTCTTACTTTTATTTGGAACACAAACTGATCATAGATTATTCAGTGTCTCTTTTCCCTTTTTATTTCGAGAAAACATTTTTATGGACCAAATCCTGTAAAAAGATTTAGACGTCTAGAATAAAGAACACGGTTTTGTTCACGTTTATATATTTTTTTAATCACTCACTCAATTATTACATGCGTGTATGAATTGTGTTGTTAAATATTAATTTGGATTAAATTTGTCTTTTAGTCATATGCACTGACTCGCATACTACGAGGAAGATCAAAAAACAACGAATCGATTTCAAAATAAGAAAAAGTAGACCAAAAGTGCAGAATAAACCCGTTTGCTTCAATGTTTATCGGGGGAAATTTTTTAAAAAAGCTTTCAAAAAACTAGTATCTTCGTTGAAAAAACATAGAAGAAAAAATTCTTACTATACTGAGGAATTTGTTAGAAAATTTTCCCGTTGGAGGAAGTTACGGGTAGATTCTTCACCTCTGAAGTAGACATTCTTTATAAAGCAGAAATGAACGTACAAATTTACTACCTGAATGCCTGTAGTGAAACAACAATGAACAAGACATACAGCCATAAACAGAGGACCATTTTTCATCTAGAAAAGGCATACTTTGATCTTTTCTATCGAATTTTTTTTAGTAGTAAACGTTTAGCATAACTGAGCTCAAAAAAACGTCATAGTTAGAAATACTGGTGTACAGTGTGATTTGATGAATAAAAGACAGACAGTAAAAATACTATATTCTAACTCGTCAAATTACTCAAAAGCAAAAAGTAATGAATACTAGAACATATATAAATCTTTCATGCTGATAAACGTCTTTGTTGTTTTGAATACGAATTCCATTGATAGGACTTACAATAAAGAACTAATCAATACCTAATTTAGTGTCCAGATCTTATGCGTGGATTTATTAAGCATAAAAAGAATTTTTGGCAAAGATTTGCTATTATTTTACTTACCACAAGTTGTTTATCAGCTATTTGCCAACCGTTTAACAATCGAATACATCGTAATGTCCCTTCTGGATTTTCGTACTCACAGAATCCAAATGCTAAAGAGAAAATAAAAAAATTACAATTAAAAAACAACAACTTTGTTTTGTTGTTTACCTTGTAATTTTCCATTAGCTCCTTGCACTCGTTTCCAATTAATAACGCCTCCACAATGCTAAATAGAGAATATGACAATATTATAATCAATGTTTAAATAGTAGACAAGGTTTTTATTTCTAAAAATTTCACTGAATTAACTTTCTTGAGTATGAGGCACAACAAATAAAACTTTTTTCTTATTCTAGTCCGTTTACCGCTTTTAGAGGTTTTCTTCGAATATCAGTGATATGATAATTAATAATTCAGGGTGGTACGTATACGAAATAAACGACTGTGTATGTGTATACGTACGTTTAAACGCCAAATTCTAAACAGCAATTTTTGGAGGAAAAAAATGGACTATATTAATTAAATATACTATTACCTGTAACATTCGTTTAATCATCGCATCGGGTGCTCTATCACTAATATTACCTACAAAAACTGTTGTAGTGGGAGGACGTTCTTTGTTATGTGACTAAAAAACAAAAAATCTTCTATCTATACACTAGTCAAAATACAAAAACTTACTTTTTCATTGTCACTTTTTTGTTTACTATGTCCGCCATTTATGCTGGACGGTGTTGTAGTTGATGCCACTGGACGAACAACTTCAATCTAATGCAATGAAAAAAATTAATGTTTAATAACTAATACAGGCTATATACATTTATTTTGTCCGATATAGGTTAGAAGGGATTAAAAAGCCTCAGAGGTGAAAGATAGGGCTGCCTGTTTACCATTACTTTAATAGTAATTAGTAACAACAGATGCTAGTTTGTTACTTTGTTACTAGTAACAAGTAACGCAGTTGTTACTTGTTACTTTACCAAAAGTAACAAAGTCACAAATCTTTGTTACTTAAGGAACAATCTTTTAGCAGATATTTCTGCTAGTCGACTTCTTAAATAAGGTTTTGCGAGGGTGAGGGTGAAATACTTGCTAAAAGGTGGTGGAACGTCTGATAAAGAAGTATCTGAAACATTAATATCAACATCTAATGAAATTCAATTATTTCACCTTAACAAAGCCTTTTATGAGCAACAAACAAAAAAAAACTTTTTTTCTGGGTTACTTGTTACCAGTAACAAACTAGCATCTGTTCTTACTACTTACTAGTAACAAGTAACAGATTCTTGTTACTTTACTTGGTAAAGTAACACCGAGTAATAAGTAAACAGAAGCCCTAGTGAAAGATCTAGAGGGTACAAGAAGATATCAAACTAAATTATTATGTCGGCTAACTACTTACATTTGTGGGCATTACCATACCAACTGGCATTACGCCTAGAATAAGAAAAAACAGAGAAATGTGTTTAAAATTCAAAGAGATTCGCTTACCAACGGATGGTGAATAATATTGCACCTGCATCGGATTAATTATGGGTACTTGTGACGGAAACGACATAATCCAGAGTTAACATTTAAATAAATAATTTCGTCAAGAAAAACAACAGAATACAAAAAAAATGAGGAGCAGTATGTTTATTTGCAAAGTCTGTTTGATCTAAATATTAAAAAAAACATATAGACTTAATAACGGAAAAGTTTGGAGTTTTAAAACGATTAAAAATAAGTGCGTATACACAAAACTTTAGAGAGTTTTAAAACTTTTTATTGCACTAGATATTAAATTTTTAGCAAAAGAAACATATCCGCACACAACACAAATATAGTAACAGGAAAAAACAACTTTTATCTTACCAAATAACTATACATAGAATACGAGTATAAAACAACGCTTAAAAAAGAAAGATAAAAATGATCATTTTCAGTCAAAATATATCTTTATTCTATATCCGTAAATAATTTGCGAGGGTACCAAATAAAACCATTAGAGAGAAAAAAGTAAAGCACGTAAAGTTTTAATAAAAACAAAAACCAAAAATGTGAGTAAATGATTTAGAACAATTTATTTCTCTATTTTATTTACTGACAGCTAATAGTAAACAAAGAAAATAGTTAAAGAAAAATGTAGTACAGCGAGCGAGATTAAACGGTGTGTGTATTGTTTGTGTGCGTCAGTTTGTCGTTTATTATTCATATATAATACCATCTTTATTTTAAATATGGATACATTCGAAATGCTTGAAGTCCACTAAGGACAACGATTAATAATGCCGGAAAATATTTTCCAGAAAAATAAGCACGAAGTAACATGAGTACTCCTAAAACAGTTGCGATCTAAATAAACAAAATAAAGTATTTTTACATGTTTGACAAAATAAGTCAGCGTAAAATTACTCACCGCAAGATTTGCAACATTGTTTTGACGATTTGGATGCATAGCATTATAGATTGACCAAGAACCCAAAAGAATTCTAAAGACACATTCAATTAGCTAAATGACCTCGGTTACACGACTTTAATACTAACCCTAATAATGCAGAAATCATGCTTCCGCGAAATAACCCTAATAATCCACCTAGAAAAAACAAATATTTCGATTAAACCTATTTCATTTTGAGAGGAAAGTAAGTCTTTCACAAACCGGCAATCAAAGAGATTCCATATGCAACGCCAAATTGATCGGTCATTTTCAAAAAAGATTAAATCAAAAAATGAACAGAATTTAAGTGAGAAAAAATAGTCGGTATATGATCTAAAATAAAAACAATATTGTGATAAAGATCGACATCATAAAGCCAAATCCGTCTCAATAAAGTGACTTTGTGTTAACTGGTTGATGCTTTAGAATCCTTAGAAAGCTAGTCTCATGGAAAGATGAACAAAGAAGGAGAAGAATGGTCGATGTGAGCGAGTACGTATACGAAGAAGAATGCATCACTGTTGCCATCTTTTTTTTTATGATTATCTGTACGTGACCTTATTTGCTGAAGACATCGTTAAAATGTGGTAAAAACCAAACCGGTAATGCACTTTGTTAAAGATGCTGAGACGTTGATACGTGGTGATCAACAGATTATAACCGATTAGCCACCTTTTTTTTTGGTTGAACAGATTCGTATTTTTCATTGATAATAGTATCGGCGAAGAAATCTCCTTGAAGACGCTCTCTTCTACGACCTCGAATAACAGAACGGAATATTATGTCAGTGGGTGTTTACAAACCGAGGTACTTTGGCAGAAGAGAAAAAGATTACTCATAAATGTATCTGACGTGTCCAAATGCCTGAATAGAATTGTTTTGAATAGAAAAAAATTCATTGTTCAACTTTCATAAATAAGAAGTGTTTAGTTGTGGTATGGTAGAAGATAATTCTTTTCATCATCAGGGAGACCATCCTACTAAGAAATCATAATTTCCTTCATAATAAAGTATTGAAGTATGGTATATCAGTGTATCTCCTGAACTTTCTACTGTTGGAATTTATACTACTTTTTACCTTTTAAGCCCTTGAGAGTTTTTCACAAGCTTTATAAACTATTGTTATTCAAACTCAATAAATTTCTTGCACATACTGTACGAATCTCAACTACAGTGGAAAATAACACAGAAAACTTTTTTTGTTTAAAATTGAGACAACGCATAAGACAGATTTTTATGTCAAAAGCAATCCATCTTTGTAGGTATTGGCAACGCCAGTAAATGATATTGTGCCAACAACTTTTTTTTTAACGTGAACCACTTCTAAATCTTGAATCCTCCAACATTTCGACTTCGAAGTTTGCATCAAAGTTTTTCATCTTTTAGCATCACAAAAAAGGTTTTTTGGTCAAGTTTCAGGGTTCGTATTAGCAAAAATCAAAAAGTAGGAGTAGGAGCAGAATTTTGAACTCCGTTATAGTAGGATTTATATCGGAAAGTAGGATAAATGTAGAATGTGTGAAAAAAGGCTAGAAAACGTTTCACTGTTCATTGCTTTAGTATAATGAAATCCGTTAAATATAACTCATATTTTTTTCATTTTCAATGGATATAAAAATTAAGAATCTTCGGTAAAGAGTTTGTACGCTTTTAATATTCTAGTGCAACTGACAAGATAAATAAAAAAACATAAATAGCAGGAAACTAGAACTACTTAACTACTCTTCTGATGTATATAGTATACGGAACCAAAAAATCTTAAAGAGAAGATACTATTGAAAATTAATCGGTGTTTTTTTCTCGCAAAAATATGGTGCCCACTTCAATGCGTTAGCTCCACTTCTCTTTTTTTTCACAATTGAAGCATACGTTTGCAGTTTGTTTTCCATCATCAGAGTATCTGATAATGGGTTGATTTGACTCGAAAGATCTACAGCATATTTAAATAAATAAAACAATATGTGAGAATAGATAAGCAAGCCGCAGGAAACAAACTATGCTCGTTTATTCCAAAAGTCCTGCCAATATTTTACATTACTAGATTCAAGCATACGTTAATTACGTAAAAATTACAATATTATCAGTATATTTCCTTCAAATTCTGAACGTGAAAACATGATGAATGAAAGACGAACTCGCATGCAGAATGTTCTGGAGAATATATAAGTGTACTGTGTTCTAATCCATAATGGATTTTTTGCTCGATATGATATATTTGAATAGACTAATAAATGGAGAAGTTTTGAAAACTGGGATTTTAATATTTTGAAAATGTAGTGAAATCTTGGAACTGAATGTATAGTTTCACAGATAATTAAATTCTGCAACTTTTGATTCTAAAAAAGTGCATTCACAACAGACCACATAATTTTTCTTTTCGAGGAAAGTAACAGAGAAACCTTAAAATATCCAAAAAGGAAACACATAAAAGTCATACATCATGATGTTACTGATAAAACGAAAATTTGTAAAAATTTAGAACAGCCAAATCGTTTTAAGGAAAATTTACTAGAAAAATGCAAATAATGACTGAGTCAAGGTAAATAATTTATTAGTACGCGAAAATGCAGCGGTCACTGTCAAATTATCTACGGTAAAAAAGTTCAAGTTCATAAACTACTGTATTCTTACTTGCTAAACGGTTGTTCTTGTTCATCAGCAAAGTAATTTGGATTTAATATAAATATTAAAACGAATAAAAAAATATGATATTTATGCCCAAAAAGAGAAAAAATTTCTCCAAACGGGTCACAAGTGGAAATCTTCAGACTATATTATGTTATCAAAGATCCATTGACATATAGCTGTGTACCTGTAACGCAGTAAACGTTAAAAAAAACTTTCAAGACATTTTAACAAAAAACGTTGCTCAGCATGAGGAAAGCGCCAATGATCTTCGCTTGTCTAATCTAAATGTTAACATCCATCCACTCGCACAATGTCAGAATAAAAAACGTGATTTGGACGCGACGAAAATACACTCAACTTATTGTTAGCCAATTGGTTTAATTTTAAATCCAGGATAAACATCTATCGTTAAAATAAAAATTTCTTTTATCGCGAGTAAATGCAATTTTATTTTAATAACAAATATAAAGTTCAGTGTCTTACACGAATAGACAGAAACTATCACCTAAAAAATCTTAGTAGAATCAAGAGAAAAATTCAAAAGTTTTTTATTCAATAAAATAGATTCTTGAAAGAAAAAAGAGGTTGTTAAGAGATTAAAACTATATTAGAGAACAGAAAGTGTTCTTTTTATAAACTTAATAACATTTATGTATACAGATTTATCGTTCGCATGAATGTTTCTGAAGTTTGAATGAGTATTTTCTCTTGTTGGAACTATATATAGTATACAATTTCTGCTACCGTTAAACGTAAAATAAAAGTTAAGCAGAATGCAGTTTGAAATGATCAATCGATAAGTAAAAACTATCACTAAAAAAAACGAATAAAAAAAAACGTAAAAAGACGAGCAGAGAAAAATGCCTGTAAAAGTAAAAAAGCAAAACAAAAGAATGTTTGCATATCATATGAAAACAAATTGTTTAGGATCATTCAAAATATGATCAAATTCTTAGTTTGGATTTCATCGGTGGTTGTAATCGTTTTGTACGTTTATTAGTAGTAGTTGATATTTGACAAGATGGACTCATCATCTGAAACAAAATCACAAAAGTGAATAAAAAAATAATCATGGAGGATTAGAATTTATCGAACGTACCAGTCCTAACTGATCTATGCTCATTGTTGAACTGGGTATAGATGACTCATTGTACGTATAGGGTAAACTAGCAATTTCTTCTTCTTGATATGACACAACGATATCCACTGTAGCTGTACCAACTAATTGCTGATAAGGCGGTGCATTAAAATAGACACAATTACCATTTTTTGTAAAATTAACAATCTTATGACTCCAGTTTGAACTATATTCTGTAAAAACTATCATCAGTTCTGTAATAAAAATATCAGTTTATTATACATAGTATAGCATTTATCAGGACATTTTTATATACCATTTTTAAGCACTCGGCCTTTGAGTAAAATCATTATTATTTCACCACCTTGAGATGCTCCAGTGGTTGGTGTGTAGATGTCCACTTCAACAGATCCATAACCTGAATGAAAATCAAAACATTATTTCTAGTTTAAATTGAATATATATTAAATCTATATAGATACCTTCTGTCATGCAATTGCTCTGTGCCATTGTGTCTTGATCTCGTTCAACACCGTATTGACCAATATAACATCGAGTAAATACTAAATATGATTTATCTAGCTGTTTCGCTTTTATTAACTCTTTTGTAATAGTATCGCTTTGAAGACTTTTAATTAATTCCACTTGAAATCTATAATTGTGACAAGATTATTGAGAATAAGCTGTTGTTTGCATTAATTTTTCTATATTATACATACGTTTTGAAACCTTTGACAAAATCTTCTTCAGTCACTGGAAAGTATAATAAATTGTTTGGTTCATCTTTTATGATACGATCAAACTGGCCCGGAGACAATCGAGTGTCGCATGATCTATTATCGATACGATATGGATGAGGTGTACTATCAACTGCTTTAAGAGATACTTCAATATAATTGAAATTTGCTGATCGCCATCGTTGATCAATCTAAACCCAATTAAACTTACTTTACTATTTCTCTCTACACATTGGATACGTACTTTGATAGTTGGATAATCTGCCGTGTCTCCATGTTCACAGCGTATATAATGAGCTGATGTTTTGCTTTCATTTAATGTTCGTGGACGATATTCTTTTCGCGGCTGATTAGTTATTTGAATTTGAACGGATTTCTGAGTGTCGTATTGATAAATACCATCAAACTGAAGTTCTAAACCATCAACAAAAAGTTCAAAGTTTAACTTGAAATAAAAGAAAGATTTTCTCAAACACACCAGTTTTTACATCTATCTCTGAGTGTTGAACATTTGTCAAATTTTCTAAAAATCAAATAATTATGTCTATTATACTAATAATAAATGTTAATCTAAACTTACCTCGAAAGTTTTGTACTGGTTGTACAGTCAACGAACTATCATAGTGAAGATCTAAATTTCTATGACGTGACGCTAGAAGAAGATAATTTAACATATATGCTTAGGTGTTCAAAGATTTGTTGAATGTGACTTACGTTTCATTTTTTTTGAAATTTTCGTTTCGGATGGATTTATATACTGTGTTGTTAAAATAGCCTTTTTCGTTATTTGTGCATCTTAAAATTACCATGATTAAGGTTAGCACTGTGCATAATACAACAATCCATGCAAAACTTACTATCAGTAATTGGATCTTCCGTTGGTGTACTGCCAACTGAATCATTACTTGTCGATAATTCTAATAGGACAATAAAAATTATTGGTTACAGGCCCAATCGCTAACCATAGACTTACCATTAAGAGAATTTAACATGGAATTTGGTATTTCTTCTAACGTTTCAATTGTATCGGTGTTATTTGATACAGATAAATATTCCATACTATCGAGAGCGGATTCTAAGGACATGTCTATATTAATATCTTGTTCAGCAGGTGAAAATACCAATGATACGTTGTTCGAATCGAGATGAGATAAAGAATTAGAGGTTTGGATTGTACTTGACAATGATATGACTTCAACGTTGGTGATATTAGTAGCTGAACAAGCTTCAATGCCAATTCCCAGTGGTGTAGGTGCTGAAAACGACGTATTACTATTAAACAGTTAATATAACTTTCAACAGTAATTTAAGTACTTGAATGAGTCAGTCAATAAGCAACAATGAGTCATATCGCTGGTTAAAGGGAAAAGTCCACTTTATTTGAAGCTATCTTTTTCAGATTTTCCAAACTGTTGCGGTTGGAAAATAACTTGTTTAAACGATGATTATTAGTAGTGTTGATTTAATTAAAGGCTTCTATTTGTGTATTTTACATAAAAAGTCAGAAAATGGACAATAGATTGCTGATACAGCAAACTCAAAAAAAATGCCAGACAATTAAAAGTCTATATATTTTTCACACGCGAATTAAGGGTGAAAGGTGGTTTATGTTAGGGAGATGGCTATTTCTGTATTAGTCAGGATTATAATCAAAAGTTTAAGTCTTTTAGTTTTTATCTCGTTCGTACATACCTAATACATCGAATAGATCATCATAAGAGTGATTATCTATCATTAATAAACTGTTATTGTCAGTTTTAATATTTAATTCTAAAAAATAATAACAGAAAATTTTCAATCGATCATATATTTTTGGAGATACATCAGCAAAAACAATCAAATATAAATTGTATTAGAGAAACGTCAACATCAAAAATTAATATGTATATCGAATTATAAGCAGATAACTATAAACAGTCCTTTGAATATTACAACTATCTCTAAGACTGTAAATGATTTAGGGTTCCTCCCTAACGTATAGAAATATGTGAGCCTAGTTACAATCTACCGACAAATCACCTGATTTACCATTTCACGTACAGGCGACTGACAGTAGAGAGGCCTCTGGGCAGACATCAAGGATACCTCCCCTTAACTCGATCAATGCATACCTGAGTGGTAGTCCGCCTCCGGACGATTAGGGTTAAGTGAAGAATAATTGGATATTATATGGATTCTATCACCCTGCCCTATCCAGACACTGCCATCAAGTGGTCTCTCAAAACGATGCGCGTTTTTCCTTCGTTTTCACAAGGGATGATTCTCTTCATAACCATTGTTTCTTCTTTAGGTTTAGAGCACAAAATCGCTAAGGTGGACTAACTAATCTCAAAGTTCTAAAGATTGTCCTAAAAAGATAAATTACCGTTCAATGAATGTATTAGTGGATTAATACTCTTTCCAAAAATTTCGTTTGGAAACTAAAAGAGACAAATAGATTTACATTTGTGAAATGAAGATCTGATATTCAATTACGTACCATTTTGAAAACATCGGGAGTATCTAATTGGTTTTGAGACACTGAAAATTGAAATTTTCTCTTAAAGTAGATGTATTCTGTTTAAACGATTTTGTACTGAAACTACTTACGCGAGTGACAGTCCATTTCTGGTGAACAATCGAAGTATTGCATTTTTTTAAAATTAATTAGTGTTATCGATAATATAACGAGTGATTTAAACGTTAATTTTTAACAAAGCATGAATCTAAAAATAAAAGACTTGAATGTAAGTACGCTAGTGTAAACACTGCGAGAACAACCCCAATACACCGCTGTACGTTTGATCTAATGCCAATTATTTTGATACATCCAACCACACCATCTGATTCATCAAAGACCTCATATTCGCTGAAGCTAGATGTAACACGCTTCCGCTAGTGATATGTGACTGTTCTCCTGCATGATATTACCGAAAAGTACAACTTTCAAGTCTCTCTTCGTATTTTTGTTTTAAAAATCAGAAAATGATAGGATAAAGGGAGTTCCACGCTAGCGCATCCGACGCCATTCAAAGACTGATCGGAGTAAGATAATAATATTGGTTTCTGTTTGGGAAGGTCATTAAGAATTAACATATTAAGTTACTCTTCTTGTTTTGTTGATGATTAATTTATTTTTACTTGTTACGCGTCATCGCCGTCGAAACGTAACAAGTAAAAATAAATTTAACATCAACAAAACAGGAAAAGTAACTCAATATATTAATTTTTAAGTGACGCGTTATTAATAATAATAAAATCTGAGAAGAGTAAAACCAACGCTGAAGATGAAGACAGCGATAATATCATTTATAAGAATAAAAAGTTGTTTGTCTGAAATTTCCTTTTCGAGTAGCTTTTTAGATGTTTTCAGGAAAAATATTAATTATTCCTGAGAGCGAATCAAAATTTGAAAAGACACGGCTATTGCTGTATTCAGAGTTAATTCTGACCTTATTGACAAGTTATTTAGACTATATTGCTATCAAACACTCGAGAAAGTTTAGATTACAAAGTATGCGGTGTTGTGCTCTGTTAACTCTGTGCTTCGATACTATCATGTTCTTGTGGATATGATAAGTGCGGCATGCATTTTTCTACTTATAAGTGATTAACTCATTCATAGAATAAAACCAGTTAGTAGTAGCAATACAAAAATAAACAAAACTCGTTTCTTCTTCTACTGTATTATCTGTTCTATAATGATAAATACATTCAAATTTTAAAGTCAAATTTGAAGAATTTCTGTACGGGCTATATGAGCGTCATGTAAAACTAATCCTAGTAAATGACATATAAAGATAGATCTAGGCGAATAGTATTTTGAAAATACGTATGAAAATCATATATAATATACCCCTTTGAATATGTGAGTGCTTGCTTCCTCTTAAAACAATTGAATGCAATAGAAGTAAAAACAGCCTTCAGATTTATCAATCATATGCAATCGATAACTTTATATGTTGGTTTTATTTAGAAAAAACCTATTTAACATACAAATTTTCTTGTTGTAAAAAATGACATTTCAATATATAAACAGTTATTTAGAGTGTATTAAAATGTGTTTTTCTGTTCTAATCTTAACTATTATTTTTTATAAATTTGTTATATAGTAAACTATTTTAAGTTTAAGAAAAATGACATATCTCACCGGTGTCAAAGAATTTTCAATTGCGTTTTCTAGCAGTCTAAAGTCAGTTTTCTACTTCTATTTATTGTATTATCAGTTAGATATGATTAGGATTCGAATCCTAATTAATAAGTTTTTAATTAATAAAAAATTCACAAATGAAATCAATACGGAATAAAAGTTTAACGTACGACATTTTATCGAAGATGTTTTGTAAAAATAATACTTTTTACAATAATGTGTCATATTCGATCGATAATATTTTTTACTTGTAATGTCATGGTAACTACCATCTAGCTATTTTTTTTTTCTCTTACCTCATATTTATTTACTGTGATAAAAAATTGTTTTTTCTTTCGTCTGCCGCTTGGCAGAGCAATATATTTTTTTTCTCTATTCAATAGAAGAAAAAAAATAAGCGTTATTTTTCATAAGAACGTGAAATTACATATATACATATAGCAGACCGTATTTTCTCGAAGATGTATACTTATTTTTCCTCGTGATATAATGTCGTCACATATGCATTCGAAAAATATGTACATGCTAAGAAAAAATACTGAACGGATTCAAACGTGTTAATTGTCAAACGCAATGTCTCAAAATATGTCCTTTTTATAATGTAATACTTGTGCTTTATCTGTTAGATGTACCGAGTGAAATTTAATCAGTTTTAACGCGTTCGAAATTTTCTAGGGTGATCGAACACTTTTTACATGTTTGATTTTTGATGGTTTAACGTGTTCGAAAGCATTTTATATCTTCACTTGTTTTCGGTTGAGACCTCAGAAATCTGTGGAGTAGTCTACTTAGTATTGCTCCTTAGCATCAACCTTATGTCGGTCACTTACTTTCAAAATAAAGAAACAAAACAGGATTCTTTAGGAGTTAAATTTTCAGTTATTCGCGCGACACGGTATGTTAAATATTTGCGTAAATTTTATCTTGTTTAAATTATTTCGTTTCAACGGCAGTTTTAAGCTCACTTATCTTCTCAATCACATACTCTGCGAGATATATGAAGACCGTGTTCCACAGTGGGCAACAACGTGGACATTAGGTGAAATTTTGAAAGTGCACTTTTTCAAGATTTGACGATTGCCTAATATATTCTGAAATATGGACTATCCGCCCGCATAAAATTATTTATTCCAGCTCTCGTAATTAACTAGAGAAAGTTAGAGTGAAAAATTAGCTGAAGTAAGAAACAAAAACTTTCCTGTCGAAGCTAAAAAACATAGTTTCGAGAAACATACATGTTCTAAAACTAGACATTTCGCTCGATCGAATCATTAAAAATAATTTGCTCTAGTGCTTTAAAAAAGGTTTTCTTTCCACGTTTAATAGTTTTCCGAAGATGGGTGCTCAGTACAATGAGTACGCACACTTTAGCACAGCTCCGAATTTCACTTTCGGTCAAACTTTGTCAAAATATTCTTCTATATATTGCACATGTATGATGTTAGCCCAAAATAGTCCAAACGGTTCTGAACTGAGTTATGGGTTTTCCAAAAAAACTCTTTGTTTTTGAAGTAAAGTCCAATTTTATCAGGTCAGAAGCACTTTTGTTAAAAACTAATAACATATTTGAAATCCGCAGGAAAACCTGCATCGCATGATGTGCATATGAAGTATTTCTGAACAAAAAATGTTTCGATCCAGTGTAAGACGGACGTTTTAGCGTATGGGTACAGCAATTTTGACTTGACACGTAGGCATGTGCTAGAAAAGTGGTACGAAAGTCTCTAAACACTCTTTTTATAAGTTTTCGTATGTGCTCTTTTCAGTGGCATGATTTTTAAACTTTCAAAGCATGTTCGTACAGGTTTTCCAGAGATAATATACTTTGAAAGTTTAAAAACCATGCCATTGAAAAGAGCACATGTAAAAAGAGTGTTTAGAGACTTTCGTACCACTTTTGTAGCGCATGTCCATGTGCCTAGCCAAAATTGCTCGCTGTATGTTCTCAACCAGTAATAATAAATTTCATTGCATCCTAGTGGAAAAAGTCTATAACAATAGTAAATTTTTGTTTTCTTTTCTGTTATTGATTGACTAATTAGTGCTGACTAGCGTTAATTTAGCTTACTCTACTAGCTCACAGTCCCATTTGCAAAATAACAACTCAACAAAAAAGTTCAAGCAATATCTCATCTGATAAAGAATTCCAAAGGCTACGACATAGGCTACCTTCAGGACATATACTTCGAAGTATCCTTCAAAATTTCGGTAGTTTTTGGCAAAGAAATTTTTTCATAGCACGTTATGGCCAGACATGTGCGCCGATAAAAAAACATGGGCGGCGGCGCGAGGCTATGAAAATTTCCTCCGCCCTCGTCGGTGGCGTGTAAAACGCATGTGCATAAATGCTCACTAGTTCTCACTACTTCAAACATTATAGGAATTCATTGTCTTCAAAAATAAAACGATCAACAGTTCGATACTTCGAAAAAAGGTCTTAAATCAATAAAACAAAAATTATTTTAAACAAAACCAATTTTCTATTTTATTTTTTCTTGACCTGTGAACTGATTGTATTATATACGACTCATATGGCTTAGGTCTATTCGACTGACGAGGAGAGGTCCCTAAGTGTTCAATCGCTTTTTGCTCGAAACATACATAGTTATAGGTAATTTCCGACGCTGATCACGAATATGATATTCATTTGGACCTAAATGGACTTTTGGCGTGGATCTCTGGAAACCCGATCCCTTGAGACCCATCCTAAAATCCAAGATGAGGCGATTTTGATCTATCAGTCCTGTAGAGCATGTCGAGTTACCTGTATGACAAAATTTCGAGATCTAAAGATTGAGTTTTGGATGAGTTCAAGGAATTTCATCTTAACACTTTATTGCCGGAAGAAACTACTTGAGATATTGGAAAAATTCTTTTTGCATTTTCTTTCGCCCCCAATTCAGTATTTCAAACAATTTTCGTTATTGTATCGACAGGTTTTCTACATACAAAAACACAGTTCAAGTACGAAAATCCTACCCCATACTTCAATAGCTCATACAAGTGGTAAATTAAAACGATAGTGGAATCGGTTTCGCACTTGATAGTCACTACTAAAGTATAGAATATCGTACATACATACTTTTGGACACAAATAAGTGAAAACACTAAGACAAAGAGTATATGTTTAATTCTGTCCTCTGATTCTTCGTATTAAATTTTTGAGATTGCTCACTAGAAACAAATGTACAAAAACGGTAAAACTATAACCGACAACTGAAAGAAAATACATAAAAAATTATCAGAAACGGCTTACACGTTTTTTACACATTCCCAAGACTAAGAATAGAATACCGTTAACATTACTACTAACATTTTCTTGTACATTGTGTGATACACTCCAGTTCACAAACATAAATAGATCTGTATTTGATGATCTTAGTTTTGTTTTTCTGAAAAAACTCCACTGGGTTCACAGCTTGATCAAAAACTTTGTTATACTTTTACAATTATTAACAATTACCTATTTTTTTTAGTTTTAATGTAAAATTGAATAAAATGCAATAGCAAAGAAGTTGGTGTTCACAAATAAATAAGTAAATAACAAACAAATTCGCACAAATTCAGTCAACAGTGAGATATAGAAACAAGATGCCCATAACAATAAAATTTACCTAAGATAGAGTCAATTATTTATTGCCAAATAAAATGAAGAGACATATTAGGACTTACGAGAGAACCTTCTGAAGTATCTCACTATTTTTTTCTCGAAAGATACATGACTATATATGCAATCAATGATGCTGATGTGACAACGAGAGCTGCTCCTACGTCCTACGTCTGCGATGTTGTTTTCTGGAAAACCAGGTTTCTGAGTTCAAAACCTGTTTCGATTTTGAGTTAGTCAATTTTTAGAGAACATTAAGTTACCTATACAGAGGAGATTTTTATGACTATGTGGCGAATATTGACTGAGTTATAAGCAATTTGATTTTTTGATTTCAGCACTAATGAAATAACATACGAATGAGCACTTATAAACAAAACTTCAAAAAGAACAGAAAACGTTCACCTGACACGTGCTTACCGGTTCAGACTAGTTTTGGAAAAATCAAATGTGTCAATTTCGCTTTCGACAGCGGTGTTATTTTACTTAACTCTCTTGTTTTCAATTACTTTTCCATAAATTCGTTTTTCTGGCAGGTTCCACCTCTCAACTGCACCTCACATTAAATTGTTTATAACTCAGTCAATATTTGCCGAATAGTCATAACAATTACCTTGTATAGGTAACTCAATGTTCTCTAAAAATTTACTAGCTCAAAATCGAATTTGGAACAAAAAGATTTTGAACTCAGAAACCTAGTTTTCCAGAAAACAACATCCAGAGACGTAAGAGCAGCTCTCATTGTCACATTTGGAATCAGTATCATTGATTGCATATATAGTCATGTATCTTTCGAGAAAAAAATAGTGAGACATTTGAGGAGATTCTCTCATAAGTCTTAACTTCAAGAAAAGATAAGACAAAGTCTAAAGAACACAGCCCCATATTAAACTATAAAATTGAATTTTTGAGTAAGTTTATTTTAAGCACTACTTTTGTGACAGTTTTTTTTCCCTATTTCATGTCAGACCCTTCTTCTTGTGACAACTATTAGCAAAGTTTTGGTTTAAATATTTCAATAATCACAGCTTTGAAGTTAGTTTAAAAAAACAGTTTATAGACTTTAAGGGTTTAGGAGTATACATAAAATAAATAATAGTCAAAAGGATTCTAAAAAAAATGTTTACGAATAGAAATATTTAAAATAACAATTGATATAATAGAAAAAGTAACAATATCACGGTAAATACGTAAGGAATGTAGAAATAAGCATAAAAAATGTCACCGTTTTAAAACACCGACAATCTTAAATTAAAACCTTACTTAGATTAAAACTTTCGGTTCAGGAACTGATTCACTAATTGATTTATGTGGCAGTATAATACCACCATTAATAAATAATTCATCTTGAACGACAACATCTAACCCAAGCACAGTGGTATTTTCCATACGAACCTAGAGGTAAATATAACACCATAAATCCAATAGACAGTCTACATTTATTATTTTTCGCGTAAATAGATTTTATGCTATGCTATGAACCTCTTAAAAAATGTGTTTGGTTCTCCTGTGTATCTCTGCCAGAAAATGGTGTTTTTGTGCATACTTTACAAAAACCTAAATTTGTTGCACGTTTGACGTTATCTTAAAAGGTCTCCATGTATTTTTCGACATATATTTTTTTAATTTCACCTAAGGTATGTATAGAAGCACTAGTTTTCAAATATATTTAGTTAAGCACTTGTCAAGTTTCAGTATGTTGTTGTGTATCAGGTACTTGAGAGAACTTCGGATACTTGCATAGATTGCACAAGTACTTACCAAGGTACCTGTCAATACTTGATGAAGTACTTATCAAATATCTTTATTTATTCAATTACTTGATAAGTGCCTTTTTTATTTGCAAAAAACTCTGGTTACTCTGGACTTTACCATCTAAGTACTTGTCTATATACTTGGTCTCAAACACATTCAATAGAGCAGCTTTTGATACAAAAGTAATGCTAATAAACAAGAATATTTTTCAATGGAACGGGACAGAAAGAGACATCATACGTCAAAAAAACTTCATCCCGACAACTTGACTAAATTTACGACTTCAATAGGCAACTTACATAAGAAAATCACATAGTGATTCAAAAGAGCATAGCGTAAAACTCTAAGCTTACTTCAATTTCGCTATGTAGTTATGGCAAGAGTACTATGTGATTTTCTTATGTAAGTTGCCTATTGAAGTCGTAAATTTAGTCAAGTTGTCGGGATGAAGTTT